TCTCTCCCCTAGATTATCACAGCAGTGTCACTTGGTCCTGTCTTGATTTCCAGGTGACCATACCCATGACAGCCAAACAGAATTTCTTCCCCTTTCTCTTACACAATGAAGTTCAACCCTGTTTCCTACCCCAGCAGGACTTCCAAACCTTCCATCTGGCCCTGATCTGGCCCGGGCTTCGCTCTGTCCTCCCCTCCTTCTCTCTGACAGGCTCCTGGTGCCCCACTACCTGCTCTGCTTCAGGCTGTGCTGCTCTCACTCCTGTGGCTCTCAGACCAAAATGCAGCCTCCTGCTGCTGTGCTATAAGCTCTTCTGTACATTCACTCCTCTCTACCCAGCCAGGACTGATAAGAGCCTAGACATGGTTCAAAATCTCAGATTCAAGGTCACCATCATTACAAAGCTTTTCCTATTCCATTCCTCTCTTCAGCCATGGGAGAATGGACCATTCCTCCTATGTGTCTTTACTCTGGAGACATCTGTCAGAGCATCGACGCTCTGTCTTTAGTTTATCTATTGAAATATTAATCTCTCTTCTTGAGGCCAGGGGTATTTTCTGGGTCATGGTTAGAGCTCAATAAACATTGATATTGGAGAAATGAAATGAAGGAAGGATGATGGAAGGCTATAAGGATGGGTGGATGGTTAAGTGGATAGATGGATGGACGGATGAATAAATGGGTGGATGGATGGTTGGATGATGGATGGAGGGAAGGATGGAGGATGGATGGAAGAATGGATAATAGGTGGATGGATGGTTGGATGGGTGGATGGATGGATAGATGGATGGAAGGAAGGAAGGAAGAATGAAGGAAGGAAGGAAGGACAGATGGATGGATGGAAGGATGGTCGAAGGAAGGCAGCGCCAGTATGTTTCAGCTCATGCAGGCAGGCAGTTGATGGGCAGAGGGAGGCATGGTGGCTGATTAAGAAAGATCATAGCAGATTTTTTTCATTTCAAGTTTTAATCAAAGCTTGCATATAAGATTACTTTATTCCTGCATCTGCTCAATTGTTTCTTCCTTGTATTTGCCCTTTTCCTTTCCTACATGGTGAGATTTGGGTTTCCGTTCAAGGATCTTTTTGTGATCTTTGTCCAGTTTTAGCCTAGTGATAACCACCTTGCTGGGACAAGTAGGTGGACAGTTGTGCCATTGGCCTTTTCCTGCTGCGCCCGTTCAGTGTAGATAACATATTGCCTCCTCTAAATCTGAACTACTTTTCCAGTTTGCTGACCTTTATAGTGTCCTTGTACAAACTAAACTGCATCATCCTTTTGGATGGGCATGGATTGCACGTTGTTCTTCTGCCTCAGCTCCTTGGAAAGAGCGGGGACACAATCTTCTCGCAAATGTGGGAAGGTGCCTTTAAATGCATTTTGCAATTCTTGCTTTGGTCAGAAGTCACAAAGGGATTGGACATCATTTTGGCAGTCCCCACTTTGATGATGGCCGCAAAAGGGAAAAGACAACAGCAGATGTTTAAGGCAAGATTAACAGCCCCAAGACTGTCTCAAAGACCGAGAAGAGAAGACAAGAAAAGTGGAAAAGCTATTAAGACACAAGCCCTAGATCAGGAGCTAGAGGCTGGATCCCAGAACAAGGCAAGAGCCTAATAACTCAGGTGGCTAACTTAGTTTGCCAAGGTCTTTGCCCGTTTCAGCACTGGATATCCCATACCATCCGAAATTCCTCAGCCCCAGGCAAGTTGGAATGGTTGGTCACCCTACCAATAATCAAGACTGGTGCCTCCACTTCAGAGCAGAACCGTCAGCCAGGTCCTGAGAGACATCTTTTAGGCTCCTGAACTGGTCCCACTCAATCCGCATGAGGCCCAGGACCATGGAACAGAGGGCAGGGAGGCTGGGGCCAAGCAGAGGAGCACCTGTGCTCAGCAGGGCAAGGCATCACAGGGGCCAGCACTGGTTTCTTAGCCCTTCTCCCAGAGACCACCTCCCCACTTTGATCCCTTCCCATGCCCTGCTAGGCTCTAGGACACCAAATTTGCATATTCTGGCCACTTGCCCATCCTATGTACTCACCCCAGGTGTTATAGACTGAATTGCATCTCCCCCAAATTCTTATGGTAAAGACCTAGCTCTCATTGTGACTGTAGAGATAGGGCCTTTAGGGAGGTTATTAAAGTTAAATAAGACTTTAAGGGTGGCACCCTAATCTGATAAGATGAATGCCTTTGTAAGAAGAGGAAGAGAAACCATAGAGCTCACTCTATCCCCTGCCCACCCCCTCTCTTGGGGTGTATGTGTGTGTATGTGTGTGTGTGTGTGTGTGTGTTTGTGTGTGTATGTGTGTGTCCAGTGTGGGCTCACCGGAAAGAGACCATGGGAGGACAGAGTGAAAAAACCATCTACAAGGCAGGCAGAGAGCCCTCACCAGAGGCCAACCCTAACAGCAGCCTCCAGAACTGTAAGAAAATAAATTTCTGTTGTTTAAGCCACCCAGTGTGTGTCAAAGCCAAGCCAGTGTGAGGTATTTTGTTACAACAGCCATAGAAGACGGATACACTGGGGTGCCATGCCCCCAAGACCCCCTCCAAATCTCTACTTTCAAAAGTCACGACCCTCAGTCCTGATTCCTTCAGAGCCCTGTCCAAGTGGGAGTGGAAGCCATGAGTTACCTCAGACTTACTCCCAAATTCTCAAGACATTCCTTAAGGTATGAGCTTGGGAAACAGCACGTGATGTCTTTCCTTCCTGAGTGGTCAGAACACAGACAGCACACACAGGCTGGAGACAGCCCACAGGCCCTTGCTTAGCCCACCTTTCCCAAAGTGGTTTCATCTGGAACCCATTCTGGCGGTGTTGCGCTAGTTTCTGATGGCTGCTGTAGAAGTTATCACAAACAGGGGCTCAGACAACACAAAATTATTCTTTCATGGTTGCAGAGGCCAGAGGCCTCACTGGACTAGAATGAAGATATTGGCAGGGCTCTACTCCTTCTGGAGGCTCTAGAGGAGCATCCATTGCTTGCCCTCTCCAGCTTCTAGAAACTTCCTCACTCCTTGGCACCTGGTTCCCACATCACACTGACTTTTCCCCTCCTGCTTCCACCATCGCGTCACCTTCTTCTGACCACTCCTGCCTCTTTCTTGCAAGAACCCTTGTGATTATTGTGAGGACCCGGCTGGATAATCCACGACAATACCTTCAAGATCCCAACTTAATCACATCTGCAAAGTCCCTTTCATCAAAGAAGATAATAATCACAGGTTCTGGGTATTAGGACACGGGTATCTTTGGAGTTCCATTACTCACCATAACTGGTTTGCAGTGCTGATTTCCATCCTGCAGGTACGGTTTAGGAATCTCCAGGTCAATGAGATACAGGATTCTTGCTCATGTCACATGACATAATGGGAAGATAGCCAAACCTAGAAAGAGGGGACTCAGTTTCCCTTGTTAGAGCCTTTTCTTATTAACTGTGGGATTTAGAACTGATTCCCTGACCTGCTCGGTTCTGTCTTCTCTCCACTTCAATGGGAATGAACTGTGAGGGTACTGAGCAAAAACTAAGGGCTCTATACCTAATAGTAGTGGGACTTGCTTCTGGATACCCAGTAGTGATTGCACCTGCCCCTGCATACCCAGGAGGGATCCCACCTGACTCTGGATATCCTACAGTAGCGATCCCACCTGCCTCTGGATACCCAGCAGTAATCACACCTGGCTCTCAATACCCAGTAGTGGCTGTGTTTTCCTCTAGATACCCAGTAGTGACTGCGTTTTCCTCTAGATACCCAGCAGTGACTGTGTTTTCCTCTAGATACCCAGTAGTGACTGCGTTTTCCTCTAGATACCCAGCAGTGACTGTGTTTTCCTCTAGATACCCAGTAGTGACTATGCTTGCCTCTAGAGAGGTAGTAGTAGTTGGACTTGGCTCTAGATGCCCAGTGTTCATCGCTAGACGGGGCCAAGATCAGTGTCTCTTGGAAGGATTGTTGTAACAATGAAAAGAGATAATGTGTGTAAAGCACTTGGCATAATATGTGATCTTTGTTTAAAGTTTGAATAAGTACTAGTTCTTATTACTTCTGTGGATATCCGACAGCCCCGTAATTGGACCCCAAAACCATGAAGAAGGAGGAGGAAATGTCTTAAAGGTTATCGACAGGCTGTGTTTGCTGAACATCAAGATCACTTTCTGGGCATTATCTCTGACTTGCTCTATCAACTCCACACCCCACCTGCAGTCACACAACCTTCCATGATCATGACCATACACAACATACTGTGTTCCCCAGGCATAGGGACCTTGGAAACGTAACCAGGCTTTAGCCAGCGCCCTGCACCGGCATCGTGGAAATGCTCTTAAGAGTGTGTGGCTGAGTTAGGGATCCTGATTTCAAAGTAGAAAGGGAGAATCCATCCAAACCCATAGAAATCCTGAATGCAGCTCCTTTCTCAGCAAAAGCATTGGCCGTGGAGTCAGCCCCCTGGGCACCAACCCCACTCTGCCCCTAATTAGATGCATGACTGAAAATTCCCTTCATTCTCCTGAGCCCCAGTTCGGGGGTTGGTGCAGTCACAGGCTTGGCTACAGTAACCCATTCATCGCGGGTATGGTGAGACTCTCAATCCCTCTCATTTCCACTAGAACTGACTGCTGGGATCTACGACCCAGTCAGCAGAGCAGGCTTGTGGGGAGCTCTCAGGCTCAAGCGCATGCCCCCCTGATCTACAGGAAATCAGCTGCAGAAAACCAAGGAATCGAGCCTGGAAAGAGAGAGGGTTAGCTAGTGCTGTCCCTTTCCCTGTCTCTAGAATACCAACAATGGGAACCCTCTTTGATCTTGTCTCTCAGGAGTGCCCATGCCATTCCAGGCAAATGGTGGCCTGGCTGGCGGCACAAGGCTTGGGGGCAGCTAGTGGGCATCGCGGTCAAAGCCTTTGGATCAGGCAACTGTGTCTGCAGGCAGGCCTGCTGGCTGGAAACCTGGCAGGAAAGGAAAGGCTGGCAGGGGCGGAGCCAGGGAGGGGTGGAGACTGGGCCGGCTGTGGTCAGTGACAAATGCTGGCTGCAGTCCAGCCAGCCCTCTGCCCTTTCCTGAGCCTGAGGGACTGCCACCTCCACTGTGTGCACGCTCGGCTGCAGGAGACAGTAAGTACAGATACCACAACGGGAGGTCCCATGGGCTCAAGGGCATGTAAGGCCAGGAGAGGATGGACTCTAGAGTTACGGGGTTTGGAGGCTGCAAAGCTCTGGAGGAGTCTCACCTCTGCAGTGTCGGGTAACAAGCAGGGGCTCCCAAGGCTGCAGAGATGAGTGAGTCCCCCAAGCTCTGTGACTTTATGCTCCACACTAACTCTTGCAGAGCTTCTGTTTCCACGTAGGTAAGATGGAAATAATTATACCCTCCACATGGCGTGACTGAAGGTTAAAAACAGCGGGTGCTCTCACTCAGCATATCTGGCTATGTCTGCAGACAGGTTTGGTTGCCCCAACTGGAGGGAGGGCCTGGGTTAGTGACATCTAGAGGCCAGCGATGCTGCTTGTGATCCCACAACGCCCGGGACAAGATCACAGGCATCATCCTGTTCAAAAGGTCAGCAGGATCAAAGTTGAGAGGCCTTTGACCTGTTGAACAAGACCTGTTTTGAAAGGACCTGTTGACCTTTTGAATAAGACCATGGGGACAAAATGCTGACTGGACAGGAGGCGCTCAGTAAACGGCAGCTTCTGTTGTTTCCTGTGCTGGGAGTCTTGGGTCTTTAGAAATCAAGAACAACGATCGAGTATTATCTGCTTCCCTGAGATAAGGGCATCTTGCCTGGAGGCTGCCACCCAGGCCGGTCAAGGCAGCTGCTCATGAGAGACAGGAACCACTTGGCAGTTTGTTAAATGAACAAAATGTAGAAATAAAGTAAGCAGAATGTTTAGTTTTTCTGAGGGTAGGGCTTTGGGCCGGATAGACAATAATAAAAGGGGAAACCACTCCCTTGGGACAGTGTCCTCACTCATAGATCAGGAAACTGAAGTATGAAGAATCCAGGTTGCAGATGCCTGGAGGGGACGGACGTGTCCATGGTGTTGACAGTGATGATAAGTAACAGATGTGGACTCATCTCCAAACTTGTCAAGTTGTAGACATTCAATATGTGCAATTTTTTAAAGAGCAGTAATGTCTCCATCAAGTGGCTTTGGTAAAGAAATAAAAGGAAGCCAGAGCTGGCAGGGAGGGAGTTTTTCAAGGTCACCTGGCAAGTGAGCCCTGGGGCGGGGAGAGCTCAGCTCTGGGTGGCCAGCCTGGCTTTTTCCACTACTCAGTGTCCAGCTTGCAGTGTAATGTCTCTGAATCACAGAGAAAGAGACAAGGGTCAGTTCATTCATTCATTCATTCATTCTACCAAGGCGTATGGAGCATCTCTCATGACTGCAAACTCTTGAAGGTGAGAGCAGCACAGAGGAGGGTCCCATGGAGAGAGAGGCCAGAATGAAAAATGTCAATGACAAATGCATAGATAAAGGCACCTGTGTAATTGAAGGAGCTTAGAGAGAAACAGCCAAGGGACTGTTCCAGAGAATAGCTGTGGAAGGGGAAAAGGTCCAGCATGATGGGGTGTTGCAGAGAAGTGGCATTTAAGCAGAGGCCTGCAGCCGATGCGGAAGCTGGCCATGGTGAGAAAGGACGGGGGAGGATTCCAGTAGAGAGGGAAGGTATCCAAAGGCCCAGAGATAGGACAGAACTTGCTGCGTCTGAGAAACTGGGAAAAGAAGAGTGAGCCTGGGGGTACCACATAACCCAGGGCAGAGCAGGTCAAGGCCAGGTGGAGCCAGTTCACAGGAGCGCTTGTGGGTTAGAGCACAAATCAAAGTTAGCGTTGACCTGAAACACAGGAGGTGGCCCTGAGTTAGGTGAGGAAGTGCTGTGACCATGTTTATGATTGAAGGAGATTCTTTTATATGCTGCATATAGAACGCCTTGCAGGGCAAAGAAAGGAAGTTACTGGGGTGGCTCAGAGGAAGATGGTGGGAGCTTCCATTAGAGGGCAGTGAGAAAGCCAGAGAGAGGCAGCAGCTTTAAGGCCTGTTTTGGAGATAGAACTGATAAGCCTTGCTGATGGGCTGCAGTGGAACCGGAAGTCAAGATGACTTCTCCCAGGAAGTTCTGCTTCTGGGTCTTCAGGATCTAGAGGAAGTTGTGACGCTGTCTCTCCTCTCTGCTTGGGCTCCAAGCCTCACATTCCTTTTTGTAATGAGCAGATATTGGACAGATCCTCCTCACTAACACACTTCCCACAGCTAAGTCCAACGTGCGCCTGGGCAGGACTTCATTGCCCAACACGGGAAACACGAGCCAGCAGATTTTAGCTTCACGGATGGCGGGGCGGGGGGCACAGGGGGAGGACTGACCAAGGCCAACCCACCACATCCCCACCACCTGTCAACTCAATTCACCGTGGCCTGGGATGACGGATGAACTTGACTGATCCCCTCTCTTCCCTCTGCACCAACACTAAAGCCAGGAACCCAGGAGAGGGGCAGCCCAACTAAGCTCTCAAGGCACTCGGTGGAGGCTGGTCTGGGGAATGGGAGGCTCCCAGGGTTTCACCTGTCTGTTAAAGCCATATATTTCCACCAGATACCCAGGACTGTGATGGCAAACCATGGCTTCGAAACTAAGAAATGTAAAACAAGCAATGGGGGCTCCACTGCCTCTTGGAGGGACTTCTCTAACCCTCTGTTTCTTCTTCTGCATGATTAGGATAGTAAAACCAACTCCATGTTGCTGTGGAGAAGTATAAATGAGCTGATACAGGTGGACCACCTGGGGATACCAGGAGCTGGGGTCAAGGAGGAACGAGGTATCACTCCTCAGAGCCTCTCAGAGACAGGCTGTGCATGAGTCAGAGGAACCTGGATTTTAATTCTGGTTCCATCACTCAATCACTGGAAAAAGCTATTCCATTTTGCTTAGCCACAGTCTATTCAATCTGTAAATAGAGTGAGTAATGCTTATTTTTGGTGAAAGTTAAATGTAGTAATATGTATGGTGTGTCTAGCAGGTTTTTAATAATTAGTGGTTTCACTAATTACTAATTAGGGGGCCCAGAGGGAGCAAGTTTTCTGCATGTCAAACATGGAACTCTGGAGAGCCTAGGTGAACGTGCGGCCCTCCCCAAGCCGACCCTGGGGAGACTCAGTGCATGCCAGGAGAGGCAGCTCCTCCCCACCCAATCTCTAGTGCTTGGCAGGGGGCAGGGGACTCTGAAGGGGTGTCCACAGCACATGGCCGACTGCAGATGAAGAAACTGAGGCCCAGAGAGGGTGGGGCTTGCCCAGGGTGACGTAGCAGCTGCATAGATGGGAGAAAGGAGGCCAGAGCCTCACTGAGACTCTCTGGTCAGCTGCCCCTGGGCTCTATCCAAGAAGGAAACTCCCCTGCTTCTGAAGCTGTTTTGGAAAGCATTTCTTTGAGGGGGATTATCAGCTCAGTGTGGCTCTGTGGGGGGTTGAGCCACATTGTTTCTTTAGCAGCATCTCCACACATGGCTGGTTCCAACACTTGGCAGGAGGGACCAGATTGTGCTGTAAAACAGACTCATTTAGAGGAGCCAGAGATTAAACCACCCACCCATGTCCTTCAAAACTCTCCAGGCAAGTGCCTCGGTGGGAACAGGCAGGAAGTGTCAGCGGAGGGAGCGGGGGACTCTGCTTGCTCATTATCTGCAGATTAGGGCTATTGTTGGTGGGTACTAAGTCAGGGATTTCCAAATCCGGAAGATGCGGCACAGGAACGGAGGAGGCAGGACTCTGCAGGAGCAGAATGATACGGTGGTTCCAAGCGCGGACTTGGAGGGTCAGAACCGGGCTGAGTTCAACCTTTGCTAATGTTAGCAAGTGACTCCATCTCTATGAAACTCGGATTACCCATCTGTAAAATAGAGCTGGTAGCTGAACATACCTTTCTGGGTGGTATGAAGCTAAAGGAATTGGCACAGTGCCTGAAAGAGGGTACGGGCAATGTGCCCAACTGCTACATCTGCCCGGTTCAGTCCTGGGTTCGGTTTTGCAGGTGGACCTTCTACATGAGCCTCCTTCTTGAAGGAAGCTCAGGGAGCAATTTCTAGACTGGGCTGGCAAGTGTGACCTGCTGGAGCTATTCAACTTCGCTTAGAGCAGGCCTGCAGCCCATGCCCGCCCAATTCCTGAGACCATCTCTTCCCACTGCTAAGCCCCAAGGCCACTCTGCAAGGCATTTCCCACACAGCTGTCTGAGGCCCTTGGGAGTTTGGTTTTAATTGGATCACGGGATGTTGTGGCAGCCTGCCCTTGCCTTCTGTAGGTCTGGGGGACCTGATGACATTGTGCCCATGGAGAGAGCCCAGCAGAAACAGATTCCCTCCATGGTGACACATAGGGCAAAGCCCACATCAGAAGCCAGGCAGGTCCTCTGTACCTGGAAATTAGTGCCAGGCTCACACAAGTGTGTGTGTGTGTGTGTGTGTGTGTGTGTGTGTGTGTAAAGCATGTACCTCATGGTACAGTTGAGAAAATGGGGGCCTCAGATGAGGCTTTTGCCAGACACTGCCACGCCCATGGCTTACGCTTCCACAGCACGTGCCCCCAAGCATCCCACGGTGCAGGCGCTGTTACCACCTCTACCTTACAGTTGTGGAGCAGTGGCTCAGGGTGTAACCCAAAATCACACTGCAGGGTGAGATTTGAACCTGGGCAGTGGCTTCAGATCCTGAGCTGTTTCCTACTGCAAAAGAAGGAGGGAGGACTTCTACCCATAGCCAGAGGGGGAGGAATGGGCACAGGAACCGCTCCTGGGTGAAGTGGAGGGGGAAAGAGAAGGACTGAAGTGAAGACCACGTCGGGAGTGATGGGAGACCCCACAAAGGCCCCCTAGGAAGAGCCAGAGGTAAAAACGAGTGCCTCCTTGTCTGGAAGTCGAAGAGATGTCTTTGCCTGCTTGGGCTGCCACCACCACGTCCCACAGGCTAGGGGGCTTCGACAACAGAAATTTCTTTCTTTACAACTCTGGAGGCTGGAAGCCCGAGACTAAGGTGCTGGCAGGATTTGTTCCTTCCAAGGCCCCTCTCCTTGGCTCGCAAGTGGCTGTCTCCTCACTGCATCTTCACCCGGTCTTCCCTCTGTGCATGTCTTTATCCTGATATCTTTTTTTTTTTTTTTTTGGTAAGGACACAGTCACATTGGATTAGGGCCCACTCTAGTGACCTCATTCTAACTCAGTCCCCTCTTTAAAAGTCCTATCTCCAAATATAGTCACATTCTGGTGTATTGAAGGTGAGGACCTCAGCATATGCATCGGGGTGGGGGGACACGGTTCAGCCCAGAACAGAAGAGGACGGTGGGGATGCTCGCATGAAGGGGGAAGGCAGAATTCCCTTAGGAGGGGAAGGTGTCTCTCTATGGGACAAGGCTGACCTGGATCAGCCACTGGGGGAAGGACAAGAGGACAGTGGGCATCCTGGTATCCTGCCTGCCCCGGGGGGATGCTCACTCCGTGTTTGTTGAATGAACAGGGCAAGGCCAGCAGTGCTGAGGGCCCCAGGCCTGTAGCTGGTCTGAATACATAGAAGGACCACAGGGCGCTGCCATGTGCCAAACCAGGACACCAGAGTGAAGGTCTGAAGCTCACATGCAAGCAGCTTAGTTCCCCAGTAACCCCGAGGTGCTGATGAGAGAAAACAGAGCAGGGGGAACCCTCTCCCTCCATATTCCATCCCCCAAAACGTGTCCCTGGAGGTGGATGAGCAGGAAGGATTCCTGCCTGGCAGCCAGGCCCCTGCCTTGGGTCTACACCTGCTCTCCCTACTCCTTCCTTGCCCCATTGTCCCTACATCTTTGTCCTCGAGCCACTACTGCCCTATGTAAACCCCTATTCCCCATCTCAGGGGTGCCATCCCTTCTCTTTGAAGCTGAATGGATCAAACCTACCATTGGGTGGGGACATCTCTGGAAAGTCAGTGCCCCGACAAGCCCCACCCCTCTCAGAGGATACCTTCTCTCTCTCCCTTTCAGAACAAAGGACAGCCACCATGCAGCTCTTCCTCTTCTTGTGCCTGCTGCTTCTCAGCCCTCCGGGGGCCTCCCTCTACCGCCATCACTCCCGGGAGATGAAGTATAGAGTCAAGGACCTCCATGTAAGTGACATGGTGGCCCCCAGCAGCAGAAAGGACTTTACCTTTGACCTTTACAGGGCCTTGGCTGCCACTGCCCCCAGCCAGAACGTCTTCTTCTCCCCTGTGAGTGTCTCCATGAGCCTGGCCATGCTCTCCCTTGGGGCTGGGTCCAGCACCAAGACACAGATCCTGGAGGGCCTGGGCCTCAACCTGCAGGAAGGCTCAGAGGAGGAGCTACACAGAGGCTTCCAACAGCTCCTGCAGGAGCTCAACCAGCCCAGAGATGGCTTCCAGCTGAGCCTTGGCAACGCCCTGTTCACAGACCCAGTGGTGGACGTGCGGGACACCTTCATGAGTGCCATGAAGACGATGTACCTGGCAGACACTTTCCCCACTAACTTTGGGGACTCTGTGGGGGCCCTGAAACAGATCAATGACTATGTGGCAAAACAAACAAAGGGCAAGATTGTGGACTTGCTTAAGAACCTCGACAGCGACGCAGTCATGGTCATGGTGAATTACATCTTCTTTAAAGGTAAGGCCCTTGGGCCCAAACCTGCACCTGCTCTGGCTTTTCTGCTGCTCTTATCTAAAGAATACCCAGTTCCCTCACATACATAAAGGAGGGGGAGTAGATTAAATTCTTTCTGGTGCCTGTTGAGAAAAATTAAATGAACAAGCAGCCAGAAGAGGTAAGATGAGTGTCTTCTTGCTGTGGATGGGGTTAGTGAGCCTGGGATGCTGTTTCTTCCATGGAGGAAGAACAACTTGCTGTTTTGGGGCCACTGGGGACCTCTGAAGGCCCAGCTTCCATATGGGCTTTGAAGTATGAGCCCATTGTGGCCACCATGACAAAGACACCAACACCTCAGCCACTCAGGGCAGGACACGGACCCCAGAAGGGCTTAGAGGGCATTTCCCAGCTCCCCATATCCCGCAGATCCTGGAACCTCTGCCCTCATAGAGGCCAAAACTCCCTTACACAAATGCTTGTTCCTCTGAAATGCCTTCTCCCGACTCCTTGGCAAGAGCTGACCTCTGCTTGTTATCTCCCCTACTCTTCCTGTAAGCATCCCTGCTCCCATCTGCAGCTCCGGGCCACCAGGGGCCAGGAAGCAAGAGTGGATAGAGGGGGGAAGGGAGGAGAGGAGAGAGTGGGAAGGGGTCAGAAAAGAAGTGAATTGTTAACACCTCCCCTTCCTGTGGTCACAGATCGTATCTTTGGCCATTTGGGTGGCTTTAACAAAATACCATAAACTGGGTGGCTTAGCAACAACAAAAATTTATTTCTCATAGTTCTTGAGGCTGAGAGGTCCAGGATCAAGGCACCAGCAGATTCAGTGCCAGTTCCTTGATTCATGGATGGTGACTTCTTAATATGTCCTTGCTCGGTGGAAGGAGCAAGGCAGCTCTCTGGCGTCTTTTGTAAGGACATCAATCCTGTTCATGACAGATCCACCCCCATGACCTAATCACCTCCCAAAGACCCCCTGTCCTAACACCTCCATCTTGGGGGTTAGGTTTCAACATATGAACAATGGAACAAACACTGAGCCCACAGCAGTGAGTGTCGAACTTGGACTCTGAGGTTTTCTATCCCATGGTCTCCATTACATCAGACTGCTGAGGACAACTGTGAAATAAGCTAAGCAAGGTGTTGGGTGGGGTCTTCCTTTGATAACGATTAAGACGTTAGAAACAGGCTGGGCATGGTGGCTCACGTCTGTAATCCCAACACTTCAGGTGGCCGAGATGGGCAGATCACTTGAGGTCAGGAGTTTGAGACCAGCCTGGCCAACATAGTGAAACTCTATCTTTACTAAAAAATATACAGAAATTAGCCAGGCATGGTGGTGTGTGCCTGTAATTCCAGGTATTCAGGAAGCTGAGGCAGGAGAATTGCTTGAACCTGGGAGGTGGAGGTTATGGTGTGCTGAGATCGTGCTACTGCACTCCAGCCTGGGTGACAGAGGGAGACTTCATCTCAAAAATAAATAAATTAATTAATTAAAATAAAAAGAAGTTGGAAACAATCATTTATTGCATTTTGTTCAGAAGTTCCCATAGGAAGGTCAGAGAAGGATAATTGAAGACTTTCCAACGGGAAAAACCATTCATTTCCAGGACCATACTAACTTATCTCCAAAACGTAGATCAAAATATTGAGAAGAGAGTGGAAACAGAGAGATTCATCCAGATACCAGGTAGCAGTCACAGCCAGCCCATCTCTTTTACCCTCTTGACTAGGAGATTTGGCCTTGAGTAACATTAGAGGGTCAAAGAACATCAGGGGTCCAGGGCCTCTGCAGATGTGAAAACCAACCTCCTTTTCTTGCAAATGTGGAAGGAAAAGTCCCACAAGAAGTCCAAGAATGTACCCAAATGTTATAAAGGGACTTGTCTTGAAATTCAAGAGGTTGAACAGTCCCTGCTCTGAGGCTGCCGTAAAGATGGTCTCTGCTGGCTATCTTTACTGTCTTCACTCCTTTCGTTTGAAGCTGAGAATTTCTAATTCTTACACAAAAAATTCTTTTTCATTTTTTCCTTTTTTCACCTTTAGCTAAGTGGGAGACAAGTTTCAACCACAAAAACACTCAAGAGCAAGACTTCTATGTGACCTCGGAGACTGTGGTGCGGGTACCCATGATGAGCCATGAGGATCACTATCACTACTTCCTGGACCGGAACCTCTCCTGCAGGGTGGTGGGGGTCCCCTACCAAGGCAATGCCACAGCTTTGTTCATTCTCCCCAGCGAGGGAAAGATGCAGCAGGTGGAGAATGGACTGAGTGAGAAAACGCTGAGGAAGTGGTTTAAGATGTTCAGAAAGAGGTACTTTGAGACTACCCCAGGGCTGGCCTACACCCACACCAGCCTCAGGGAAACACACCTGTCCTGCCAGGGCCACACAGCACTGGTGGGAAGGACTTGCCCAGCCAAGGAGCCTCTAAACCCAGAGGCATCCTGTGACATACAGGTCCCAGGGGCCTAGCCCAGCTGGAGGGACAAGGGCTGGAAGCTGGGTTTCTTAGGGTGGTGCCAGAGTGGGCAAAGACCTCTAGGGCAGCCCATGTCCAGGTCCAGAGTAAAACAAGCCTCATCCTAGACAAGAGGTCAGAGGAGCTATAACCACCACCGTTCCTTGGGTTAAGGTGTTCCGTATTAAACAATCAAAACTAAGAATCCAGTACATTCTGAAGCCAAGGGGTGAAGCTCAGTGTGCCAATACCCTAGAACCTAAGAAAGCTCCTTTACCATTTCCAGGCAGCTCGAGCTTTACCTTCCCAAATTCTCCATTGAGGGCTCCTATCAGCTGGAGAAAGTCCTCCCCAAGCTAGGGATCAGTGATGTCTTCACATCCCATGCTGACCTGTCCGGCCTCAGCAACCACTCAAACATCCAGGTGTCTGAGGTGGGTCCAGAAGCTCCTGTGCATCTGCTTTCCAAGATCTATTCTATTCTCTTCTATCTTATTCTATTCTATTCTTTCTATTCGACTCTACCTCGCTCCATTCCACTCCATTTCATTCCACTCCACTCCACTCCATTTCACTCCACTCCACTCCACTCCACTCCACTCCACTCCACTCCACTCCACTCCACTCCACTCTATTCTATTCTATTCTATTCTATTCTATTCTATTCTATTCTATTCTATTCTTTTTTTAAATTGCATTTTAGGTTTTGGGGTACATGTGAAGAACATGTAAGATTGTTGCATAGGCACACACATGGCAGTGTGGTTTGCTGCCTTCCTCCCCATCACCCATATCTGGCATTTCTCCCCATGTTATCCCTCCCCAACTCTCCGCCCCCCACTGTTTCTTCCCTAGTTCCCTGCCACAGATCCCAGTGTGTGATGCTCCCCTCCCTGTGTCCATGTGTTCTTATTGTTCAACACCCACCTATGAGTGAGAACATGCAGTTATTGATTTTCTGTTCTTGTATCAGTTTGCTGAGAATGATGGTTTCCAGGTTCATCCATGTCCCTACAAAGGACATGAACACATCACTTTTTATGGCTGCATAGTATTCCATGGTGTACATGTGCCACATTTTCCCTGTCTCCTTCTCCCTCTCTCTCTCTTTTCCCACAAGAAGCAAACGTTTCATTTTGTGTCTTTTCCTTTATGTAATGGGAAATCATATCTACCACTGTTCCTTGGGTTAAGGAGTCCTTTATTAAACAATCAAAACTAAGAAGATATTTACTAGCTGAGTGATCTCCAAAAAACACTTGACTCTCTGAGCCTCCTTTCCCTCCTCTGTAAAACTGAAGAGCCATACCTTGCCTAAAGATGTCAAGAGAATTCAGCGATGACACATGTGATGTGACCTCCCAGCAGAGTGCTTGGGGCAGAGTAGCTGCTCCATTGTTCCATTTCATCCTTGCTCCATGGCTCAGTTGCACAGAAACTTAGAGGGTGATGCTAATAGGCAGAAGCTTTGCCATTTGCTATGATGGCTTCACCCACCCCTGGTGACCTGGTGATACCTGTTTCTCTCCTGCAGATGGTGCACAAAGCTATGGTGGAGGTGGATGAGTCTGGGACCAGAGCGGCAGCAGCCACTGGGACAATCTTCATGTTCAGGTCGGCCCACGTGGGTTCTCAGAGGCTAGTGTTCAACAGGCCCTTTCTGATGCTCATTGTGGAGAACAATATCCTCTTCCTCGGCAAAGTGAACCGCCCCTGAGTGGGGCTTCTTCTGAAATCTACAGGCCTCGGGTGGGACATGAAGGTGGGTGTGCTATGGCCCGTCCGTATGCTGGTAGCTAGTGATTTACACTGGTTTAGTTGACTAATGAGGCATTACAAACAATAAAATTACTAAATAAGATTGCTTCCACCCACACAACCACAAGATACAGGTGCCTTGGGGAAATTTGGAGAACATTCAGTCTTGCCCTCACAATTTATCAAGAAAGATTAGCACTGAGATCCAGAGAGGCTGGTTGACATGCTCAAGTTCACCAGCATGTTAGTGGAGGAGACAGGTCCAGAGTCCAGGCCCTTGATGCCCAGCTCAGTGCCACAAAGCTCAGGAGGAGGGTTCCAGTGGGCGAGGGCCACCAGGAAGCACACGTCCAAGCCTGGTCCCCCACCTATCAGCAACAGTAACTGTCAGTTCATCCTGCATGAGAAAAATACTGGGATGGGAGTCTGAAATGGGGCTACTCTTTTGGCCCTAACCTGCTGTGTGACATTGGGGCAACATTTTTTCTCTCTGGACCTCAGTTTCCCTCTGTATACAAGGATCAGACACTTGCTGCGATCCAAGGACTCCTGAAATCATATAGAAAGGCTGAGGTGTGCCCTGTCAATCATGGTTGATTTCAAAACACTCAAGAGCCATTCATCCTGTAAGACAAACATCTGGATATTAGGGTGGAAATGGCCCATTTGATGATTGATTATATCATCTTGTGGATATGGTTATAATCTTATGGGCCTGGATGGGAGTGGAAGAAGGGAAGCCTGTTGCAAAGAGTAGAGTATCAGTTGCAGGTGTCAATGACTAACTTTTTGAATTTTACATTGGCATTAACAATAAAGCATTTTGCAAACACTGGTTATAACTGTCTTTATGGAGGTAGCTCTGGGAATGGTGTCATTGAGAGCTTACTATGTTCCAGGCCAGGTGCCTGGCCCTTCACCTGGATCACATTTGCCCCTCATAGGACTCCTATGAAGAAAGGCATCACTGCTATTCCCATTTCACAGACGGGAAAGGCAAGGCTTGGAGTGGTTAGGTGGCTTACCCAGTCACACAGTTCCTAAGTGGTGCAGCCAGAATTTGGTGCGGGGAGTGTGGCCCAGAGCTATACAGTCAGTCCTGTGCTGTGCTGTGGAGGAGAGTTGACCAGCAGCAAAGCCTCATTCAGGGACATATCAAGTACCAGCTTCCCGCTGAGCCAGGTAAGTTCCCTCCCTCCCTCCACCAAGCACCACATGTTTCCTGCTCTGTGAAATGAAGATGATCAGACACTCAGTAACCAAATGAATGGGTGAGTGAGTCCTTTGCTGCTCCCAAGTCTGACCCACTGTGCGCCTGCCCACCCCATTCTGAACATTCTGAGCATGCTTCCATGAGGCTGTGCCCCCCTACCTCAGATTCTAGAGTCTGGATTGCATCAGAGATGAGTGCCCACTAGAGGTTACAAGGTCAGGACCCCAAGCCCTGTCCATTCCCCAAAGTACTGAGGCCCCAC